AGTGCCCCTCGGGGCGTGCCTCCTGCCATGGTTTTCTGTGCTGCACGGAGCCTCTCCGTTGCAGTGGTTGCCACACATCCCGAGAACGCACCGGCTTGCAGCTGTGCGCCGGCAAGCCTCGTGAACACATTGCATGGCTGGAAGCATATATAGTAAAAGTACAACACAGTACTGTAAAACTGTTGCAGTAGTGAACACGTTGGTTTAAAGCAACTGCAGCCGCAGTTATTGTCGCATAGCTTTGCAATTTGCGGCACAGCATGTTACAGCACAGTACTGTGCTACATGTTGTCTCACCAACGGTTTTTGTGGAGTTGTATCTGACTGCCTCTCCTTGCAGTTTGGATCTTGGCATACCATAAACAGAAAACGCCTGTGGCCACTGCCCACCCCTCCTACAAGCGATTAGCGCAGCTGATGAGCCACCAGCCAGGCATAAGTTCACTCAACTGCGCTGTTATGCATTGGACTACTCAGTACAGCGCATTACAGTACAGTAATACGCAGTACCCTAGAGTAATGTACAGTACAGTAGATGGCGCACTACCAAACCAGCTGGCCAACAACCAACACTCAACTGCGCTGTTATGCATTGGACTACTCAGTACAGCGCACTACAGTACAGTAATACGCAGTACCCTAGAGTAATGTACAGTACAGTAGATGGCGCAATACCAAACCAGCTGGCCAACAACCAACAGATGTTTTCAGCACTGTACATGAACAATTAGAGTACAATACAAGGACTGTAGCCAAACACAAGTCCCAGAACCATCCCCGGAAAAAAGGACTGTAGCCAAGCGCAAGTCCCAGGGCCATCTCCCTATCCCACACTACAGTACAGTACATTACAACACCATACAGTGCAGTACAGCACAGTACAACTGCAATTACAGCACAATAAAAGGACTGCAGCCAAGCGCAAGTCCCAGAGCCATTCCCGGAAAAAAGAACTGCAGCCAAGCGCACGTCCCAGAACCATCTCCCTATTGCACACAAATCCCAGATCCAGTCATAGTGGTAATCCCCTTTACCGTTGCACCTGGGCGAGCGTCATCTCAACAATCAGAACAGTTTGAGGCTCCAGCTAGTTCCGGAAAACCAATTTTGCATTGTGAAACGCCCACTGAGCCACTTTGGCTTAGTTAGATCTTTGCAAGAGAGCACAAAGATGAACATTTGGCCCAACGTGTTCCTGAGGCCACAGCAGAAAAACATTCACACCACTGTTAGGTGTGGACCCTTTTGTTGGGCGAGCGTCATCTGAACAATCGGAACAGTCTAAAGTTCCTGCTAGTTCCGAGAAATCAGTTTTGCATTATGAAACACCCACTGAGTCACTTTGGCTTAGTTAGATCTTTGCAAGGAGGCAGATAGGCCTGTGTGTTTTGCTTAAATGTAACCCACGGCGAGTGTCAGCCATTCTAGTGCTGCGTGCGGGCCTGCGCCATCCGCAAATAGACTCTTCCTGGCTTGTGCGGGGGGCAAGCCAGAAACCTAAAAAAATACATCGTCGGACATATTAGGGTATGTTTTCTTTTTTTAAATGTTTTCAATCCTAAAGGGTTCGTAAACAAGGATGTCCTACCCGAGTCTCCTTCACCTCTGGCGCCTCCTAAGCCGCGCCCGGAGTCGCATCCTATGCAAAGCTCGGCGCAGTTTCCGCGGCCGCCCGAGCTAGCTCCAAGGCTCTCTCCGCCACGGCATCCAGGCAGAGTCTCAAAACAAGTTCAACTTAAGCTTCATCCTCTAATTCCTCGTCTTCCAAGAACTGGTTTTACAGCAGTTACTACAAGGATCTAAATAGATCTAAACCAAGGGGTGAAAGGGGTTCCCTGAACCACAGTACAAGAGAATAGTGCTAGTTATTATAGTTAGCATTTGTTTTACCCCTTGTGTTAAATATTCCCTACGTTTCCTCGAGGCCCCACGTTTTGTGGCGACGAAGACATCGACGCCTGCCGCAAAGGCAAGCCATAGCTCATCGCTAGACTTTGAACGAGCTGTGATGGGAAGCCGGGTGGCCCTGAAGAAGACACAATCCATAAGGGCCCCTACTGTAAGAGCCTAGCTAGATTTAAAGCGGTTGAAGTACAAAGGGTTCCCTAAGTTACCACTTTACTTTTGCAGATTATGATTGCAATTGTTTAGCACTTTACATGTTCATTAGTTGGTAATCCTCCAGGGTTCATTAAAAGATACCTTTGGGCTGTTTGACCGTCACAAAAGGCTGGCTTCCTTTTGCCTTTGAGGGGTGTGACTTTCAAGTGCAGTAGGTTATTTCACCTTTGAGCCCCATTTCTCATAACCATGCTGACATGACCTACTGGAATGATCACCCAAGGGTACCTGAGGTTGTAGTTGAATGGGCCCATTTGATACATCTTTTCAGCGCTTGTAACGAAGCACTTCGGCAATCCAAGGCCTAGGTGCCTCTGTGCTATGTTTGTTCACTGCGTCATTGCAACTCCAGAAGTCAAATCTATTTCCTACTAACCATGTGGAGATAGGGAAATAATTGAGCTGATGCGATAGCTGGGTCTTGTTGCCACATCACAAAAAAAACACCTCTTTGCACCTCTTTCCTGTTTTTTTGCTGAGAACAGTGAGCCTTTCCGCAAATAAATGGCCTTAAGCACAATGCTGCAGGCGTAATCGCGACAACTGAAAGACAACAAGCCCGGCTTTTTCCGAGTCGCCACCTCTTGGAGACGGAACGCTGTTGTCGGAGGGGGGAACGAACCCTTGGATTAATAGGCTTGAAAAGGGGAACAAGAGGAGCCTCCTCCCCCAAAAAAACACACCCTTTCATAGCCTTCTCAAAAGGACCATGCTCACTTGCCCGAGCAAAGCCTTTGCAAACTAAAGAGAACCTCGGCAAAACCAAAAGGTTCAAAAGTTCGGCTTTGAGCGCGCACCAGCAGCCGATTGCCAGGCACTGGATTGTGCTGGCAACACCGCATTGCGCAACGCCCAATTGGTCCGCATATGCGGTTAGAACATAGTGCAAAATCCTTAAAGCTGAACGGATGAGCAACACCAGCAAAACAGAGCAAGACATCCCCACGCATACGTACAGCTCGCACCCGCTCGCCCAACTCATCTCAAACTCTGTCTGCGTCAGAAACCTGCTTCGGGAAACGAAGAGAAATTGAAGAGGAATGAAGGGATGTGCAGGAAAGTGACGTGAAATGGGAAGCGAGGTTGAAGTCGCGGGAACTACAATGAACTAAGGGAAAGGAATGCGAATGAAGGGGCGTTCAAGGAAATGAAGGGAGCTGAAGCGGAAATGAAGCGAAAGGAAGTGAAGGGAAATGCCAGGAAGGGAAGACATGCAAAGGAAGCAAAGTTCACATCCCGGAAGCTAACGTGTCGCGGCAGCCCTTAAATCCGGCCACCGGACGTGATCGGGCCGCAGGCCTAAGCCCGCAGGGCTCACCTTCAGGTATAAGGCCGCGCGCCCCATGCCGCCGACCATGCGCGGACCATGAGCAGAACTTTTCGCTGGGCCCGCCCTTATAAGGGGCGAAGGATTCGCGGATTGGTTTAAGCGATTTTTGTAGCATCTCCCCGCAGCGCCAAAACAAGTATTTTTAGGGGTGCCTAATACTGGACAACACCCCCAGCATAGCCAGCATCATCCCGGATGATGCGGGTGATATTATGCATGCTGGCGATGCGGGGGATGCTGGGGATGTTGTCTCCTAAGTCGGGCCAATTTTGCCGAAAACGTGCAACCTGAACATCTTAAAATCTTAAAGTGGATGGAAAATGGATGGAAAATGGCCTGGATTGAAATCTCAAAATCCTCAAGTCTTAGATTCTTAAGATTTTAAATTAAGATCTAACAATCAATCTCAAGATCTTAAAATCTTAGAACTTAGAATCTTAAAATCTGAAAATATAAAAAACATCCTAAAGTCTTCGAATTTTGAAATGTTAAAAACCTTGTGTGATAGAATCTTGAGATCCTAAACTCTTAAAATATGAATTTCCTAAAGTCTTGCAATCTTAAAATCTCAGAATCTTAAAAAGCTTTAAAAACTTAAATTCTTTAAACCTCGAACAATTGAAATCTGAAAATCTTAAATTATTAAAATATTACATTCCTTCAATCCGGGCTATGTTTTAAATTCCTTAAACTCTTAATCTTGAAATTTTGAAATCTTGAAACCTTAAGATCTTAAAATTACAACCTTAGAAGTTAGAATCTTACAGCCTGAAAATATAAACATCCTAAAGTCTTCGAATCTTGACTTCTTAAAACCCTCATGTCTTTGAATCTTCAGATGTTAAAATCTTAAAATATGAAATTCCTAAATTCTCAAAATCTTAAAATCTCAGAATCTTAAAAGCTTCAAACAATTGAATTCTTTAAATCTCGAACTATTGCAATCTGAAAATCTTAAATTCAGAAACAAGTAAAATATAATAAAAATCCTTCAATCCGGGCTATATTTTAAATTCCTTAAACTCTTAATCTTGAAATTTTGAAGTCTTGACATCTTAAGATCTTAAAATATTAAATTCCGAAAGTCGCCAAATCTGAAAATCTCACCAAAAAATAATCTTCAAGCCTTCGAAATCTGATAATGGATGGAAAATGGCTGGGCAATGGCCTGGCTGTTATAACCTTCAAAAACCTTAAATCTTTGAATCTTAAAACCTTAATTCTTAAACCATTGAAACCTTAAATTCCGAAAGTCTTCAAATCTGAGACGCTTAGAATCTCTAAAGGTTTTAGAATTGTAAAATCTTAACATCTACTAATCGGACTTACAGGAAAGGGAAGTGACAGAACGGGCAGGGCAAGGTGCCCGGTGGCCGGCTGTGTCGCGTCAGCGTGTAAATCCGGGCGCCCCGAGCCCGTGGTTTCTCCGGCCTTCGGTTCCCTCTAACCGAAGGTTAAGCTCGCGCCTGCCGCCGACCCACTCTAGGTTCACTCTATGCACAAAACATGACATGACGTGGTATAACTTCTGATCCGATGGGACTCCGGCCTTGCTGAATTCTGCCAACTGCAAGCGGAGGAGCTCCATCACGCGCTCCTGGCAGCGAGCTCGCAGCCTAAACTGAGCTCTCCGTTTTCTGATCCGCTAAAAGTGACTAACTTCTCTTGGGTGCTGTAGATCCCCCAGCAAAAAGTTTAACTTTTCAATTTGAGAAACGCTATGGTCAGAGGCCATGAATGGGTATAGAGCGCAACTTAGTATAAGACGCCCTTGCAGACCAACTGACACTTTGCAGCACCCAGCTTGGTTGCTGTTGACACCCTTGCAAAAAGTTTAACTGTTTGGGGGTTTAGTGGAAAACCACTTGAATTCACAAAAAGTTAAAGTCTAAAGACCCAACCCAATAGCAGTCAAGCCAGACCCTCAGAATCATGCATCCTGTCTCTGTACGAGGGGCCCATCCCTGGCCCTTTCTGGCATAAGGCTATGGACCGTCGACTAGGTTTCAGGGCATCCCCTTTCACTTGGTTGACCTCCCCTCTGAAGAAAAAGCGGATCCGCATCGTTCAAACCCATTTTGCAAAGTTGGCTGAAAAATCGTTCCAAAACGGCAACGTAGATCCCAAGGTCCATTTGACGCCCGTTCCACATGCCCCAAAGCTTCGCCACCCTCGCACTTTTCGCTCCTTGCTGGCTGGCTTGGCATGGATGCAGCCGTCGTGCTTGGAAGGCAAGCGATCCACCTCTAAGCACAGCGCCTCCTTGATGGCCACCTGCCCGGCTGAAAGGCGAGACCAGCACCAGCCGCTCTGCAAGAAAACCTTCGAAACCCGCTGGCAACTGCGGTGCTGGCCCGAACTTGTATCCAGACCTTGAAGTTGGTTCCCCGGACTCCTTGAGGTCGAGTCCCCAAAATCCCACAAGGGTCTGTCTTGTGGGGAACCCTAAGGGAAACCAAAAGGAAACCACTTGTTGGGGGGGGGGGCACACTCAAAGGGCATTTTTGGCCGAACATGTGGTAGGGATTGGGAATTAACCATCACACAGCCTGCTTTTTTGGGGGGAAGGCTTTCAAAAACCTCGCTGGCAATCCCAAATTTACCTGATTTGAGTTTGTCTCTCAATCTTGCTTGCTGCAACGACCCTTCCTCCAAAAAGTGAAACACATGTTGTGGATTTCATGTGGAACCCCCCTCATGACTTAAAGATCCACACACTAGACATAAAGCTGTGCTTTAAGGAAACACCCCCTCGACAGGAAAGCACAGGAGGGGTTTCATGCCACACCCAATATCCAAAGGTCCAAAAAGATCCGTCAGTAGCAATCAAGAAATGAGCGAACCCTCCAAAATTCTGTTCATTTCCACCCCCATGGAAAACATCCTTCAAACCCAATGGGTTTTTCAAGAACCGCACCCAAAACCACTGAACTTCGGAAGCCTCCAACTGGCTTGGTATTTCTCCCAACCCCTTGGTCCCTCCTAACAACCCGACGCACCCAGGCAAAAGGCTCGGCACATAGAGGGCCCCTCCGAAAGAGGCGGAAGAAGGCGAAAGACCAATAAGGACAACCACAGTTCTTGTTTTGGGGGGGTCCAAAGTCACCCAAATCCAGGTAGCTTGACTGGGCTTGGTCCCTCTCTTGGCGAACCAAAAACTGCGTCAGCTCTGGTCGCTCAACACTCACTGCGTGTTTCGACGTCCACAATCCATGCTCTTCTAGTTCTGAAGCTGGCTCATCGCTTGACATGGGCCCAACATAGCAACGGAAAGCCTTTCACACCGTTCCGCCTCTCAAAACCTAACAATAACCGGGACAAGCAATTCACCTTTAACTGGAAGGTCCTCTCTCAATGCCCAAAACAAGGCAATCCGTTGCTGATTTTCCATATCTTGTGACCTCTGCTTTGGATTTAGTTTTGAACAAACCAGCACCCAACCATGTACTGAGGCCCCAAACAAAATCCACGGAGTCGCTGGCTTCCGCGGAACAAAAACAAACTCCAGAATTCCATGTTTAGTGAACCTTGAAACAGATCCCAGAATCTGGTCAGCCTCCCACCCTCGCCTCGTTGATGTAGATGTCGGGGTCACCATGGAAGTCTTTGAAGACCCTGGGACCAATGTTTTGTTTCAATGATTTAGAGTCACAAGGGGAGTCATAGAAAGGCCCAATGGTCCCTCGTAGATCTTAGCCCCTGATAGTGGCTAGGCAATCATAGTCCCTGTTTGGGGCACCCCTTGCTATGACTCCAGGATCCTTGGACGACCCCATTGCAATTGGAAAATTGTCTCCTGCAGATTGACTGGACCCCCACCACAGCCTTTGTTATTGAGATTTCCTTCCGGAGACTTCCCCTGTTCGGGTTCCCTGTTTCATTTCAAAAGAGCATCGTTTCCAAGGCGAGCAGTTTCTGAAGGCGATCCCTTGCGTTTCTGCGCAGGAGAGTCAGCCTGAGAACGACAAGCATGGGCATCCACCTTACACGGAATGGTATTCAAAAGAGCAAACACTGCAAGAATCCACCGCTTCATTAACAACATGTCGCATTGAACCCAGCCACCCGTTCGTTATTGTTGTTCCCAGCTGTGAGAAGCCCCGCTTATTTCCATTTGGGACCCTATACATCTACACACAGACCTACTGCCTTTCCCCCACTTCAGAATCATGAGAGTTAATATGATATGGAAGGCAAACATGAGCTGCGCGCAAGATAAATGCATGAACAGAACTCACCTTGCATCTACATACAAGTATCCATGCACATGTATACAATACGGCATCGTCTTGCAAAGAACTGTACGTGTATATATATATATATATATATATATATAAATACACATCAATGTATGCGCGTATACGTAAGGCTCGAAACTATAGGCCAGGATCTCTGGGACAGTCAGCGTCCTTTACAATATCCGCCGACATTGCTCGGCGTGTCGGATACTTACTAGAGGATAGAGGATAACCCCCCCCCTAACCCCCCCCGCCCGACGTCTATTACGTAGGTTTTTGGGGGGGGAACGTACGGACGGGGGGGGAGGGGGGGGGGGTCCCCCACGTACCGCGCGGCAATTTGATGACGTTCCACTAAACGTAGTCTTCGGGGAGCCGGTGTCGCAAAACAGGGGTCCCAGGCTCGATTCCCCCTGCCGGCTTTTTTGCTGGCTTGGGCTTCCTGCATCCTTTTGCCGAAAATCTGGAAAAACTCAATGTTTTTGGACGTCCTCTTTGCGAAAACTTACATACTGCACATACATACATACATGCATACATACATACATACATACACATACATACATACATACATACATACATACATACATACATACATACATACATACATACATTACATACATACATACATACATACATACATACATACATACATACATGCATACATACATACATACATACATACATACATACATACATACATACATACATACATACATACATACATACATACATACATACATACATACATACATACATACATACAGTACATACATACATACATACATACATACATACATACATACATTACATACATGCATACATCATACATACATACATACATACATTACATACATGCATACTTACATACATACATACATACATAACATACATTCATACATATATATATATATATGTATGCATGCATGCATATATACATACATTTCATACATACATTACATACATACATACATACATACATACATGCATGCATACATACATACATGCATACATACATACATACATACATACATACATACATACATACATACATACATACATACATACATACATACATACATACATACATACATACATACATACATACATACATACATACATACATACATACATACATACATACATTACATACATACATACATTACATTACATTACATTTGACAAGATCTCCAACCGTTTGTGCAGGGCATGGATTCGACCGAAGCCCTTTGAATATCAAGATAAAAAGGCCCCTGCAGATTAGCAGGTTATGAGCCCAAAACCCTAAAGCCATGCGAGCGCGAAGAAGCGCACACCTTCGTGGAGACGGAGGGCAAGGGCCTGAAGGAGACCTTCTACAGGAGGAGGAAGACCGTCAGGTGGGGGAGTCAGGCCAGGGCAGTCAGCAAGAGGCCCTGGCACTGGTGGAGCCGGCACCGGGCCTTGAGCTGATCGGCCAGGAGCTGGCGTTGGTGGGCCAGGAGACGGTTCAGGGGAGTGGAAAGGGCAGCTCAGGCAGCGGGCCGAGGTCGACTCGGAAGGCGCCTGCGGGAGGCCAAGGAGGAGCTGCAAGTGTTGATGGCGCTGCGGATGGTGGCGCTGGAGAAGGAACAGAAACCCCGGGCACGGTGATGGTGCCAAGGAGACTTTGGTCTACGGCGTCGAGAAACCCGTGGGCATCTCCGGTGGTGGCGGGAGAAGAGCATCAACCTGGAGAGGAACAAGGAGATCGGCAATGGAGAGGTGGTCCGAGTGGGTCACCGCAAGCCTATGGTCCGCTCTTCACTAAGGAACAGCTGGACTACCTGCAGCGGTGGGATAAGCCGGGAGGATTGGTGAACCTGGGGAAGGCGAAGGAGGAGCCGGAACTTCAGCTGGTGAGACCTGGATTTTTGGACCAGGAGAGACTTCATCGGGCACCAGATGGAGACGGTCCACAGCAAGACCCAGGGCAAGGGAACCAGGACTACCTCATCAAGGAGATCCAACGGTTGCAGGAGGAGAACAGCAAGCTCAAGGCGGCCACGGGCTCGGGGGAGACCTATGTGACTCCGGATCACCCCAGCGTGAAGGACGCGGACAACCACAAGCCGGAATCCTCGGAGGAAATGATTCGGGACGAGGAGAAAGCTAATCCAGACCACCTTGCGATCATTCTGAAGCTCATGGAGGGCATGCAACAAATCCAGAAGACGCTGGTCAGCGGTGCCAAGGGCAAAGATGATGGTCAGGTGGAGGTGGTGAAGGCCGGAGCGATCGAGCTGCCGGTGCTGGCAGAGCTATGCGCGGAGACGAGTTCAATCGACCTGCAGGACTGGCTGACGCTGATTACCCCGGCGATGGCGGACATCTCGGAGACCAGCCAGGAATGGTGGGAGCTCGTGTTGCAGGAGGCAAAGGCGTGGTACGATAAGTACATGCAGGAGGCGCCGTTGAAGAGGCTGGCGATGGTCCCTACGAAGGGAGAGTCGGAGAGCCCCAAGTGGAGAGAGTGGAAAGGAAGGCGGTCACGCTGCTGGTGAAGGCGGTGCCCGACCAGGTCAAGGATGAATTGGTGGCGACGAAGAGCCTGAACGCCCTGTCGCTGGTTTGCAAGCTGATGATGATGTACCAGCCGGGTGGTATCGCAGAGCGAGGCGCGATCCTGAGGAACTTGGAGCAGCCTCTGGAGGCGAACAATATCCAGGCGGCGGTGACGGGCATCAGAAGGTGGCTTCGCTGGAAGCGGCGGGCGGAGGAGATCGGGGTGTCCTTGCCGGATCCCTCGGTCCTCAATCGAGGGCTTCATCGTCTGGTTCGGAAGGTGCTGGAGGGCAACCGGGACCTTAGCTTCAAGATAAGCCTGGCGAAGTCGCAGCTACAGGTGGACACGGTTCCGACCCACAGCACGGTTGGCGTCTACTGCGAGCACTTGCTGTCGGAGCTGGAGCAGCTGGTGCATACGGAAAAGAAGGTCAGTCCCGGGGAGGCGAGAGCCAAGAAGATCGAAGGCACCTATGCGGAAGACAAGCCCAACGGCAAGGAGGAGACGACGAAGGAGAAGAAACCCTGTCGCTTCTTCCTGACGGACATGGGATGCCGCCGTGGGAGTCAATGCACATTTGGCCATGATGCGCGAGATGGGCGAGCTCGGTGCTATGGGTGTGGAGCGGTCAATCACTACGCCAAGGACTGCCCAAGGAAGGTCGTCAAGGACTACAAGAAGGATGCGAAGCCGTCGTCTCCAAAGGTTGCGAAGATGGAGACGGAGGAGGGGGCGACGTCGGTTTGCGAGAAGGGTGAGACGCCGAGAGGAGCAACCAACACGGAGGGGACATCGCCTACTCAGAAGGAGAAGGGGGATGCAGAAGCCTTGCAGAATGTGTTGGAGGAGGCCGGGAAGATGCTTCGCTCTTTGACGGTGACGACCCCACCGAAGAAGGCAGGGCGGGAAGCCCGACTGGAGGACATCCAGAAGCAGCTGGACGACATGAAGTTGCGAAAGTTCGAAGAGGTGAAGGTCTCGAAGATCAACTTCCAGAATGAGAGGGGGTTGCTGGATTCGGGAGCCACCCACGCCATGAGGGGCTTGCAAGAAGGAGAGGAGTTGGAAGACCTGGAGGTCATCCAGGTGGAGCTGGCCGGAGGTCAGAAACAGGAGCTGAGGATGACGAAGGGCAAGGTCATCGTTCATGACGACCCCCAGGTGCAGCCGATCGTACCGCTGGGCTTGATGGTCAACAAGCTCGGCTGTGAAATCAAGTGGAGTATTATGGGATCCTGCAAGGTGAGACATCCGGCTCTGGGTGACATCCCGGTTTGGATGAATGCTGGATGCCCGGAGATTGACCGAGAGCTGGCGCTGTGCTTCATCGACATGTTGGAGCAGACGGAGATCTCGGGAGCCAGGGTCAGGCTGGCAAGGCACGAGGAAATGGAGCTGAGCGGTTTGGCGGAGAAGGAAAAGGTCTTTTGGGGCGTCCCGGAAAAGATCATGGAGAAGGTGGTCGAAAAGCCGGCGGACAACCTAAGAGGCATCCCGCTGAACCGGAGCAGAAGGAGGACGTTGGAGAAGGGGTTTGTACTCCACTTGTATGCGGGTGAGAAGGACGGCTACACCTTGCAGAGAGCGCTCAAGGAGGTGGGCGGTGACACAACCCGATTGGTGGAGGTGGACTTGAAGAGAGGCCAGGAGCACGACATGATAGATGGGCCCCTCTATGCGTCACTGTTGAGAGCGGCTATGGACGGCTACATCTTGGGAGTGGTGGGCGGACCAAACTGCCGGACAAGAAGCGTGCTGCGACATTACCCGTTGCCCGCAGGCAGGCCTCGCCCGGTGAGAGGAGTCACTCCTGAAGATTGGTTTGGTCTTCCGGGGCTCGACGAGGAGGAGAA